GGTCTTTTGTTTTTTTTTAAAGCAGAAAGTGGCAGAATGGATTAGATATTGTTTGCTTTTACATTCTTTTGTGTTTGCTGTCCTTGAACACATGTCCTCCATCACTGTGATGAGTTTGTGTGAGTGTGCTAGCGTGAGCAAGAGACAGTCTCATCCATCAACATTTGGACTACCCTATGAAACAGGAATGATCTGTTTGTAACTAACCTCTGTTCTAAAAAGAAAAGAAAAGAACACCCATACCTTAACAGACCCAAATCCTCATTTCTCCACGTCAGAGGGGGTTTTGTGGCGTTATTTCTCAGAGCCTCCGGTGTGTGATGGGCTGTGGGATGTGAGATCCTTGAAAAAACTATGACAGATCAAAAAGACCCTGAAGTAGGAGGGGGCGAAGCAGAAACGTGTTGTGCTGAGTGCTCAGTCATATCCATGTCTCTCCTACTTTCTCCTTGTCTTTTCCTGTTACCATTCCCTTTTAAAGCCTTCACCCAGTCTTCTATATCTTTGGGCTTATATTAGATTTTGTATTATGTAAGTCTTCTTTTTCTATTTTAGTTTCTGCTCATCCACTCGTTTCTACAACTCAGCATGCTTTTCTTTCTATAATTTGCCTTTCAATCCACTTAGACACTGTTTCGCTCTGTTCTTACAGAAGCAAACACACCACCAGAACTAGCATGCAGTACAGCCTATACATTTTTCCACCTTGTGTTATACTCTAATATAATGCCACTTTGAGCTTGTCCCTCGTTCACTAGAGGTTACCACAGTGGGTAGCTCTACATGTTTGATTTGGCAGATTTTTTTTTTTACACCGGATGCCCTTCCTGACTCAACTCCAGAGGTGTTTCTGCCTCCTTCCAGGAAGGAGAGGTGTTATCCTCATGTTAATGAGGTCAATCAGAAGGAGAATTCTCTGACGGCTTGATTGGCTTTATATAATAACACTGACCTTCATGTGTGTTTATACATCAAATGATGTTCATGTACTTTATGAATTTATTGAGAGAATGATCATAAACAGATCAAACACCGAACTGCTGTCTTTACCTGAAGTGGTAAAATTATTTCCGCTTACTTCATGTCATTCACTTGCCATCTGAAGCAGCTCTGTTTCCTTTTGAATGCAGCCTAAACAAGTAGGTTTATTTTCCGTTTTCCATTTTGAAATCCCTCACAAGCTAACAAACTGACCTTAGATAATGGCCCATATTTATTAGTGCAAATTGTGTGTTTAAAATGTTTCTTTTCTCAGTACACACTCCAGGCTTAGACTTTCCCACTGGGTTATTGAAAGGGACTGCTGTTTTCAGTCATGTGATCACCTCTTTTCTCATGACCTAATCTCTGGTTTAGCCTTTTAAATGTCCAGTGTTTTTGCTGCTTTACCTCAAAATAGGGCTGTTCGATATAACGATATATATCGAATGACGATATAAAAACATCTATCACTTCATTTTACGCTATCGTTTGTTTCGTGGTGTTGCAAAATAAACCGTTTACGACAATATTTCTTCATCGTTCTGATGGTCACTGTAGTGGCTATATTAATTTCTTAAAGTTCTCTCTTTCTCTTATATTTTATATAACCACACTAAGGATGGACAAGCGCCTGTTTTTATGCGTTGTTGTTAGCAACAGCGACGGTAACAGCATCGCCCGTCCGCTTGTTTATGTTCCACATAAACCTTTCACAATAAAGCTCAAGATCCTGTTGAGACTTTTCAAAATAAACTGAATCACGTGAAAGAGCAGATTATTTACGGATGAGAAGTAAAAAAGAGCCGCCAGGTGCTAAAAAATAAACCTTAGACTCAAACGTTAGAACAGGCAACCCGCAGCACTCCATGTAATAAATACAAATAAAACGGCAGCCGTTACAACTTATGTCTAAAAATGTATAGTTTCATGCATCAGTTAAAACACTCGACTCCGGGTAAAGGACTCGCAGCTGGAAACACTTCCCGCAAGTCGAGAAGCCCGAGATTCACAGAATTTACAGAAAATGTTAAATTTTTGTGATTTATATTGTTATCAGGACGATATAATTCTTATATCAGGATATGAGATTTTGGTCATATCGCACAGCACTACCTCAAAATAAACAACTTAAATATCAGGAAAAAAAGAAAAAAGAGGTAGTAATTAATAATTAACAGCAGGTCTACTTCTTTGTTTACAGTTTATGCACTTTCCAAATTACTGTACCACCTTCAAAGAACTTATTTAAATAAATGTATGTTCAATTTTCAAGTGCCAGATGTTTGATCTACCTGTCTTGATATATCTATCTTTCCTTTTTTTTTTCGCTTAACGCTCCATATAAACTCTATAAATGTTGGATATAGCATGTGCTGTTAGAGGACATGGGTCATAGTACTTCTCGGTGTTTAAGAAGAGCTGAAACAACTGATTTTGGCTACTCTCTAACCTACAGTATACTGAAATGCTTCTATAGAACCAGCATCAAACTACAAAATAAAGGCAGAATCAGCTAAATTTCACAGTTTTAGTCTTGAGGGCAGCTAAAGCAGTAAAGGCTAATCCCCCTGTTACCGATAGGCTAGCATTTTATATAAGCATCCTCCTCTCCTCTCCTCTCCTGCTGGGTTGAAGGAAAGCTCCTGCGTCATCACAGTGCACCCACATACCTATATTACGTTCAAGATTCCCAGAGTGATTGGGATTAATGCACTTCCACAACCGATCCCTTTGATATTACGGCATAGTTCAAAGAAGGTCATCTACTTCGTAATCCCATACAGCAGGAGCAAAATGTAATGATTCTACAGTAATAGTCTTACACACAGTGTGACTCATAGTTGTGAAATATACTCATTTCTGCTCATTGGCTCACACCACAATCTGTATGTGTTTCTCTGAGCCTGTTATGAGCCTAGAGGTCATAGGTAGAGGATTAATTTTCCCAAAAGCATTTTAAGTGCATTCATGTTACTCTAACCGGCCACAGAGCAAAGTGATCAGATGGAGAAACCCGGGTGTGGAGAGACAGAGGGGTTGTATGACATCCTCCTGTCCTATTAGTTTATTGTTTCAGGTGCTCTTTGGAAATGAAATCATCAAAGAAATCCAAGGAACTCTCTTTTCTAATAATATTTTAAATGGCTTTATTCTCATCTTTAACCTAAAACAAACCCCTCCCCTGGGTTTTTGGCATACAAGCCTTCATCATCCATCATCATTTATGATGACATAATATCAGTTATCAGAACAATAATCAATGCATCACAGAGACAGGCAAGAGACTGAGAATACATTTCTGTTTCACGATTTTGATTTAATACTTGATCACTTATGTAAAATAAATTTTATTGGCCTGTGTTGTCAGTTTCCTTTTAAAAAACACCAGATTTTACACATACAAGCAAAGGCAGCGTTCTCCACACTATGAGTGTGTTTTCTCTTACTCATAAACAAGCCTGGTAACTGTTACTTTACAGTGCAACAGTAGGTGTGCTGTATTTAGTGATATGCGCTTCCTCATATAAAACATTCCTCAAATAAAATGAAAAATAAAGTGCATTTTTTGTGTTGTTTTTATTAATTCTTTGCAAGATATTTATTATATCTAGAAAATATATTTATTAATTGCTTATAATCATTATTATTTGATAGAGTCTTCATTTATTTCACTATTTCTTTCTTGTACTAGTGCCATAGTAGTACCACTGCAATGTACATTAATTAATGAAGGTCGTGAGATGTAATTGCAAGCCTTAAATTAAATTCAACAATTGGCCCATACATTAGCCCTTTATTACTTTTACGTGTGTAAAAAGGGGTTTACAAAACAATGTACTGTTTCTTTCCATGCATGTGATCAAATATCCTCAAGTGGGACTGCAGCTGTTTTAATGGATTATATTTCATTCATTAGCTGTTGATACACCAGCATTCTTTGCATTGGTATTAAAACATTAATAAAACATTTTTGAATCACTAACATAGTCACAAAGAGAGGCAAGTTTGTGAGAAGAATGTAAGAGAAGGTAGAGGAAAGAAAGTCATAATTTTCACTGGAATTATTCAAGATATTTTAAAGTGGAAATCCCAACTTAAAAAGCAATCCTTGGTGAAAAGGCTCCTTGCAGTGATAAAAATTAGATATACTGTAATTTTATCTCACATACGATCACCCAGCAGAGTATCAGCTAACTTGGCATGCCACAGGTGTCACCTGTAAACTGTCATGCTACTATGTCTCACATTCCTGTCTGTCCCTAGCCAGCCTGCCTTCATATCTGACCAACCTTGATGCCTTGGGCTTGATGTGTTGCCATGGCAAAGCTTCAGATAGCCACCCATCTTGTGAAGGAAGCGGGCCTGATTGGGGCTTCTTCCTGAAAGTTGTTTTCCTCCTTCCTCTTTTAATGCCTGACAGCATTTATCTCTCTACCTACTGTAAGTGGATTTGTGTCTGGGACTTGCTTGATAGATGATAGCAGTTATACAGTGAGGAGGTTTCCTGCAACTCTTTTTATTATGTGGCCTATTTTTCTGAGTAACCCTCTAAACTATGTGCTATTATGAGTGTGCACACATGTGTATGTGTGTGTGTGTGTACGTGTGTGTGTGTGCGTGGACTAAATTTAGCACAGATTTTCTTGAGGTTGATGATGTAACAAGCTGTCTATGTAGTTCTCAATAAGCCTCGATGGAGAACTGCACAACAATCCTATACAAGAGAAGCGAGTTAGACTCCCTCTCTTGGTTTTTCTCTGAGTAATTCTACTTTCACTGTCAGTCTGTTGTTTTTTCTGTCTTTCTCTAACACTCAAGGGACAGAAATAGAGAAGAGAGGAGGCCAAAATGAGAAGAGCCACAGGGAGATTGAGACTGCATCGTATCATAAATGCAATACCAGTTCTCATTTTAGAAGAAAAATGCCCATCTTCTTTTGCTTTCAACTCTGAGGTGGATTTGATGGCTAGACACTGGGCTTCATTTGATACCCATTTGTTCTAAGACCTTGAATACACCATGCACTGATAACCTGATCATCACTCATCATCATCAGTGTGTTGGCCTGTCAAAGCAAACTGATAAGTTGCCCACTGTATTGTGTGCTCAAGAACATAGGAAAATCACTCATTCCTTATTATCTGTATGAAGATATATGACGAGCCATGTCCTATAAGTGAAAGTGTGATTTTTCATAATGGGCCTCTGCTCTCTTCTTTTCTCGTTTTTGCTTCTAAACAAACATTCACTCATATTTCTTCGTGACAAACTTTGATTGCTTTTATTGTTTCAGTGCTACACAGCTCATGACATGGGACGGAAACCCCGCGTGCCTCATGATAAAATGCATGGAAACAGCACAGGACACGTCTTGCATGGCAATACAACGATGGCTGCCGTCGCATATAAGCTATATACTGTAGCTACAACACTGAATAAACATGAGCTTGTACATTAACAGCGAAAGTTTCTATATTGACTTGTTTCACCGGTGGATTATTTTTACACCATCCTTAAGACACGACTAAAAGGGACTGTCCCTGAATGAAAGTCTGTGTATTGTTGTTGTTTTTTGTCTTTTTGCTGTTTCTATATAGTCACTGAACATCCCCGCTCTCTAACGTATCCGCATTTAAATAAACGCAAACGTTTTTCTTTTCTTTTTTTTTTTACTCTGGTTATGGTCTGTGGAATTTGCATTTTATAATCTTCTTGAAAGCGTTTTGGAAGTCTTTGTTGAAGTAGGCATATATGATGGGGTTGAGGAGAGAGTTTGAATAGCCCAGCCAGTTTATGACTGCGCCCAGCCACTCGGGCATGTAGCAGCTCTCTGCACAGAAAGGCAGTACCAGCGCAACGATGAAAAAGGGCAGCCAGCAGAAGATGAAAGTTCCCATAATGATGCCGAGTGTTTTCACCGTTTTACGTTCCCTGGCCAGCGCGATCTTTCTCTTCGCCCCCGAGTTCTTTTCATTCATGTTTTCATAGCCGTGCGAGGAGGACTGAGGAGTGTTGGGCAGAGGCAAGTGCGTCTTTGAGTTGCTGATAACTTCTATGATCTCCAATGATTCGCCCTCGTCTCCATGCTTCACCGCGCCATTTACGCACGGAGAGCTGGATTTAGACTCATCCCCGCGCTTCCAGCCTTTGCCGCCGGCCTCTCCGTTGGTTTTCTTGTGAAAGATGGCCGGAGACACACTCAAGCACTTTTCTGACACTTTTGCTTTCTCTGCTTTCTTTACTGTCTTTCGAATCCGAAACCGAGCAGCTCTGAATATTCGTCCGTATAGAACTAACATGAGGATAAGAGGGATGTAAAAAGCTCCAAACGTAGAATAGATGGTGTAGCCCGGGTCCTGGCTGATCATGCAGGCGTCGGGGTTTGCCCTGTCTTCGGCGCTTCTCCAGCCTAACATAGGCGGAATAGAAATGGAGAAACCAATTAGCCAAGTGACGCTAATCAAGAACGCAGCTCTCCTTGGTGTCCGTTTATTTACATAGTCAATAGGGTCCGTTATGGCCCAGTACCTGTCCAAAGCAATTGCGCACAGATGCAGGATGGATGATGTACAACACAGTACATCCAGAGAGATGAATAAATCACAGATCTCCTGCCCCAGAGTCCACTTGTTTAAAACCTGATACAGGGCCGCCATTGGCAGGACCAGCACAGAAACCATGAGGTCTGTCACGGCCAGGGATCCGATCAGATAGTTGGCCACATTCTGGAGAGATCTCTCCAGGGCGATGGCTGCCACGACGCACGCATTGCCAAATATGGAGCAGAGGATGAGGGCCCCCAGGAGCAATGAGGTAATAATCTGGTAACTTAGCACCAGATCTGGAAGAGACCCGGACCCCGTGCCATTTTCACCCCCGTTCCAGTCGACAACCACGTCCCCCCCACTGGGGTAAACACTGGTCGCGTTGCTGTCGTTGTTGCTTGTGGTTATAAAATCCATAATGCAACCACACTCAGAGCGAAACTTTTCCCAAAGTAGTGGGGAGTAGTGGAAGAATAAGCAGGAGTCAGTCAGCCCCCTCAGACTGCTGCTGCCGCTGTGCGTTTTACCGGGTCCATCGGAGTTACCGGGCTCGTGCTGTCGCTCTCAGGACGCATGACGCAGACGTGCTTGTGAGTGCGTGTGAGGGGGCTGTGTATGTTGTAGCCCATGAGTGTTGACAGCCGGGTGCGCACACTGGTACTGCGAATCATCTGAGCTTGGTGACGCCGTGAATTCATTTATACCAACAGCTTTAGGTACGTCAGACCGGGAGGAGGTCGTCCTGGAGGTTTGTGCCTTTACTCTTCTTGTTGCTCAGTTTTTCATCACAGACCGCCACCGAGGGTGCAGAGAGCTACTGTCCTTTTTGTATCTCCTTTATTTTACTCTTTGGACTCACTGAAAAAAGTATTTTGTTTATTTATTCATTATTTAAAGTTTAGTTTTAGCCTTCATCGGAAAGGGTTGGTATCAGCCAGAACTAGTAACCAGGAATTTTTCCTTTCTTTTTTTAATATAACGAGATATCAGAAAATTAACTATCAAATGAAGCAAATTTGTCGTTGGGCTACCTAAGACGGATACATTTAAAAAAAAAGAGTATCTCTGTTCCCATGAAGTTTTTGTGTAAAGCAACTTCGTTTTAAACGGATCTTTAAAAAATATTTTTAAAACAGTTCTGAACTAGAACCGAGAAATTCGTACAGCGTGTTTACGAGTGGAGCTTTGCAATTTTGATGTGAAAGGGAGAAAAGTTCAAATGTCCAGAGCGCTGAGAGAAAAATAGTTTCAGGACCAGGAACAGCTCCTCTGCAGTCCTGAAAGGAATGCTGCTGCCCTCTGCTGTACGCGAATTATATTGCACCAAATGGTAGCCGTTGCTCCATCAGCACATATGAGTTCAGGGTAGGTTGTGTGAGTACATTACAGGAAGGAGGGGGTTCCCTTGAAAACAGCTGTAGCCGTTGCCTTGTGTTCAAGTGTATTCGAGCCAACAAATAATGTCAGCTATGAGTCAGAGTGGAGTCTGAATAAACGCAGTTAGTGAGGAACTTCTCAAAGGGGAGGGATGGAGGCTGTGGGTGAGTGTCTGTTATAAGGTGATTGTATGAAAGATAAGTGAGTCTAAAAAACGTATTAAAAAACCCCGTAAAAGTTCTCATTGGAATTCCACACAGAGGCCCTAAGGCCAGGTGATAATAAAACATTTAAAAAGAAAAGATATTTAGATGCAAAATGTCAATTTGGGGAAAGGGCCATGAAGTGAAAATTGCAAAAGCTAGAAATGACCAAAGCTTAAATGGACAACAAAATGTGTACAAACAGAGCACATAATGGGCAATTGATATTTTCTGTATTTGTTGAAATACGTTTTTTCCTACAAACTGATCACCATTTCTATAATAACTGACAGCTGCAATATCTGGACAGTATTCCAACCTTTTTTCACTTTCATCAGACTGTGTGCAAAGATCTACTTTTTTTGGCCACAGCATATGGCTCAAGAATCCAGAATTTGGCAGCCCTGGCTTCTGTTGTGGATGCTACAGTGAATTAGTTTATGACCAGCTAAAGGGTTACCGTTGTTCTAAAGTGACAAGATTGTAAGATACATTTTTTTCAAATCACTAAAGCTAATTTGGGATAAGACTCATCCAACACTAGTCCCAGCCTCTGCCTCCAAGTGCCCCCCCCCCCCCCCCCCCCCCCCCCCCCCCCCCCCATAATACTCAACACATTTGAAAAAACTCCAAAGTTCTGTTTTAAAAAAAACCTTGTTCTGCATTCTTTTTGTAGGATGGTTTCAGTTTTTAGACACTTAACTTTGATTTTAACTGCAAGAATCTGCTGTGTTGGTTATACTGGAGTTTATAATCAAAATGGATGTATTCTTTTCCCATCCCTCTGAAGCTCCCGAAATACCAGTACAATGATTAAATTAGAAAGTCTCATGCTCTTTCTGTATAATACTTCCAGTGTGTGTGGAAATCAGCTGACACGACACAGGTAAATATAGCCTTGTGTTAAATTTGAAGGGGGAGGGTGTGCGAGGATGTTTTAAAACATATTACCACTTTCAACCAAAGAGTGGTGAATCAGAAAGAACAAAAAAGTAAATCAAATTAGAATTTGGGGTTGTCACTGTGCCATAAATGGCACTTGTTCTCTCCCTTTTTCAAGGTACTTGGCAGGTAGGTTGCACAAAGCATCTTTGAGTGCTTGCCGCTGTTCTTTTGTATAACATCTGACTTTTATTTGTCTCTTGATGTAATTCCAGATTGACTGCTCGGCATTGAGGGAGCCACTCAATTTTCTCAGAATGTCAGCGAAACCAAAATCTAAGTAACAGAAGTACTTATTAAAATGACAATTTTATCAAAGACAGACACCTTTAAAGAGATACAAATCACCCTTTCTTGTCATTTGTCTTTGAAACAATTAGACATGACAGTCACTGGAAAAATGATAAAAGCATGTAATAAAAGCTAAGTGCTGAAAAAAAATGAGGATAAATTTAGTGCTTTCATTTAACTGCTCTATAAGTGATGGATAAAAGATCAGATTGCCAGGAAAGGATAAATACATTAAAGAGACCAGACACTAGACTGACGCAACAAACTGACAAAACAACTTGGCAAAAGATGAGAGGAAATGTCAAGAATACAATGAGAATAAAGGAATAGAAAACAGGTGAGGGAGGTGTGAAGAGCCACCTTCACAATGGGAAAGGGTGGAAAGGATGATTATTTTGATAAATACTAATATATAACTTCATGTAATAACCTTTTTAATAGAACCTCAGTTATAAAGCAGGATCCTTAAATTCCAGTAACCAAGAACTGATAAATTGTTGGGATTTTGTCTGATTGTTGGAGTTTCCTCTGTATTATTGTCACATCTTTACCCTACAATATAAAGCACTTTCAGGCAACTGTTGTTGTGATTTTTGCCTATATAAATAAAAATGCATTTAATTGAATGATTTTCATGCACATCTTTTTTTAATTCAGGAAAACTAAATTCTGTTAACAGCAGCAAATAATCTCTTTGCTTTTTTTAAAAAAAATAAAGGAACAAAGCAACATTTTATTTGCTAGACCACTGAAATGCTTTAACAAGGAAGCAGCAGCAACACACACACACACACACACACACACACACACACACACACACACACACACACTGTCCTGTGCTTATCAACCAGTGAGTGAAAAAAGCTGACACCGCGGTTGTAGGCATGAGGGGAAAAAAGGTGGCTCTGGCTATTTCACTTGATTTTTGTGAGTCTGCTGGTTCCATAGTGGTGTGCTTTCTATAGGTCATGAAGGACAATAGCAAGGCCGTTAACAGTGCACCTATTGCAGTGGGGCTCACTATGGGGACTTTGTCTTTGTTAACAGAGTGGAATGCCCCAGTGGGCTAACAGGGGCAGGATAGAGAGCACCACTGCTCACCACCTCTGCACTCGAACAGTCCCTGTAGCTCTTAAAAAGAGCTTCAATCTATACATCCAGAAGAAGTGGGAAAGAAGAGCAGGAAAAGGATGACAGGGGAAAAACCAGGCTAACTGGGCGAAGTTGCTTCAGATGTCTTCCACTGGTGGGCGAGGTGCTTTGAATGAGCCATGATGAGCTCCCATGTGGGAGCTTCTAGTGTAAATGTCTCGAACAGAGTCGGATGTAGCGAAGCTGAGGATGCTGGTGAGGAAACCAGTGCTAATGAGACTCACACACCAAAGGTGGAGAGATCTAGGCAAAGGAGTGTAAATCCAGCAGGCGAGGGAAGGTCAAGCAATGTGCTGGTGAGACCTGCGCTGTCAGGTGGAAAAGCACGCAAAAAGACCTGCAGTGAGGACAACAAAGGAAGCTGGAGAGAGCAAAACCAAGACAGGGGTGAGGAGACAATAACTGCTGGAGATTTGGAAGGCAGAGAAAGAGGGAAAAGCATGGAAAGAAGAATGGCGGAAAGAGATGAAACACATGGAGATGAAGCACAGTATAGACAGAGAAGAGAAAGCACTGGAAGTTTGTCAAGTAATAATTCTGATCATCAGTTAAACAACATTTTGGAACTTGGAGAAGGATCGAGCAACTTGCAGAGAGGACACACCTGCTCTCGACTCCAGAGCACTGGCTGCAACTGGACCTTCACTTCCAGTTCAAACGCACTGTCCCGTCGGCCTGCTACTCATACCAGGTCCATACCCCGGTCACCCCAGAGACCTTTATCCAGACCAGCTGCAGGAGACTTGCACCTCTACTCACTAAGTTCATTCAGGGAGCCAGATCCATTCTGGGTGGAGGTGAGACCAGGGTCAGCAACTGGACGATCTTTGACCTTCTATGAGCTAAGAGGGGAAGGCGAGGATGAGGGTGATGAAGAGAACGTGGAAGATGGTGATGAAGGAGGCAGCGGGGTGGTAAGGGTGATGAGTCAAAGCGTGACCTCAGCAGTGGCACAACCTTGTGTTCCTTGTGAGAGGAGGATGAGTAAAAGGGAGAGGAACAGGATTAAGAGTCTGAGGAGGAGACAGCGAAGAAGGGAGAAATGGAGACAAAATCAACAGCAAGAAAGCAGACAGGTGACTGGCACTGCACACTGACATCACAGAGGTTTAAGTATCACCACGAGATGAGTCACAGAGGCGGTTATTAGATCACTAAATGATTTAGTAATTGCTAGATCCAGTAATTAATACCCAGGATAATTTATTTTTTTTAATATGTAATCTTTATGGACTTTAAGGATTAAAGACACACCAAATAACAAATGTTTTTAACTGAGTAAGTCCTGAGATTTATACACAGGACTTACTCTTACTAAAGAAGTATTTATAGCACAACATGGCAGGTATATGTAGTAAATAAATAAAGAAACAGAGGCTGCATGCACATAATCACGTGGTACAAAACAACAGGTACAAACATTAGGCCTGTTTCTTTTTTGTTGTTGTTGGGTTTTGTTTTGGTTTTTTGCACTGCATCTATTTTTCACTGTTTTTACTCATGGTACTTTATATTACAGCATACACGTGTGTGTGTGTGTCTGTTTGTTTCATCTAGACTCTGGCTCTCGAAAGCTATATCAGCAACCAGCTCATTTCAATAGCCATTGTGTGCGCGGTTTAAAGTGGGGTTACATCTGAATTAGTTGCATGATGAGGCTTGGGCAGAGAGCCCTTCAAAACCGACCAGA